CAGATTGTAGTTCTGTTGAACTGGCACCTATGAAGTTCTTGGTGAAGGGAGTTGGTTTGTTGTTTTGTTTTGATTTTTAATCTTCAGAGAGAGGGGAAGGGAATGGAAAAAGACAGGGAGAGAAACATTGATGTGTGAGATATACATCAATCAGTTGCCTCTTTCACACCCCCAGCTGGGGACCTGGCCCACAACCCTGGCCCATGTGCACTGACTGGGAATTGAACCAGTAAACTTTCAGTTCACAGGCCAGCAAGGACAAGTAAATGTAGTCTTATTATCTAAAGATTTTATGGGATAGGCAAAGCATCAAACAAAGGTGGCGCCACTTCTTCATTTTTTAGCAAGTCAGGTGGCATCGGCTACACCTGAAAAAGAAAAGGTTATTATTTTTTTCCTTTTTAAAAAATTATTTTCTTATTGAGATCAATTTTCTTTCTTTCTTTTTTTTTGTTATTGTTCAAATGCATTTGTCTCCATTTTCCCACCACCACTTTCCCCTGCCCCACCCACCCCCACCTCGCACCCTCAATCCTTCTCCACTTTGTCTTTGTCCATGGGTCCTTTATACCTGTTCCTTCATTTGACCCTTCCCCTTACTTTTCCCATTACACCCCTCCTGCCTCCCCTCTCATATTGTCAGTTTGTTTTTTTCTTTCAGTGTTACTGGTTATATTTTTCTTGCTCATTTCGTTTGTTGACTAGGTTCCACTTACAGGTGAGATCATATGGTTTTGTCTTTCACCCCCTGGCTTATTGCGCTTAGCATAATGCTCTCCAGTTCCATCCATGCTGTTGCGAAGGTGGTGGCTCATTCTTTCCTTCTGCTACGTAGTATTCCATTGTGTAAATGTACCATGTTTTTTTTGATCCACTCTTTCACTGATGAGCACTTAGGTTGCTTCCAGCACTTGGCTATTGTAAATTGTACTGCTATGAACATTGGGGTGCATAGGTTCTTTTGAATTGGTGTTTCAGGGTTCTTACATTCCCAGCAGTGGAATTGCTGTGTCAAAAGGCAGCTCCATTTTTAGATTTTTGAGGAAATTCCAAACTGTTTTCCACAGTGGCTGCACCAGTCCTCCTCATTCCCACCGACAGTGTACTAGGGTTCTCTTTTCTCCACAACCTCACCAGCACTTGTTGTTTGTTGATTTCTTTATACTGGCCATTCTGACCGGTGTGAAGTGGTATCTCGTTGTGGTTTTAATTTGCATTTCTCTGATGGCTAGTGATGCTGAGCATTTTTTCGTATGTCTCTGGGCCCTGTGTATGTCCTCCTTGGAGAAGTGTCTGTTCAGGTCCTCTGCCCGTATTTCAACTGGATTGCTTCTCTTCCTGGAGTGGAGTCATGTGAGTTCTCTATATATTTTGGAGATCAAATCCTTGTCTGAGGTATCATGGGCAAATATATTTTCCCATATGGTGGGTTCCCTTTTCATTTTGCTGATGTTTTCTTTAGCTGTGCAGAAGCTTCTTATTTTGATGAAGTTCCATTTGTTTATTCTTCCCCTTATATCCCTTGCTCTAGGGGACATACTGGTGAAAATATTGCTGTGTGGAATATCTGAGTGTTTCCCTCAGTTCTCTCCCTGCCCAGTCTCTCCTCAGGTGTCTCCAACCTACTCTGCCCCTCCTTTGCCAGATTCCCGGGTAAGTGGCTGCAAATAAAAATTTATGCATTGGTCCTTTAAACAGCTCTTTGCGTCTTCAGCCACCCATCTCTGGCTAAGAACAACCCTGCTGCTTTTCGCAGCTGGCTGTTATCTGTGCACTTCTTGGGCTCTGGTGCTGTAAGCTGGAGATCCCAACTTATGGTTTAGACCCTACTCTTCTCAGGTGATCCAACTGACCGTTTAAATATCCCTCTGGCACTGCTACCCATGGGAGCCCAGTCAGCCTTCTTGAGTCTTTGCTGCTCTCCTTACCAGTTAGGTTGTGCTAAAGCTGATTCTTCTGTCTGTCTGAGGTTATAAGGCTCCTCTCTCGCTATTGTTCAGTTGTTTGTTCCAGGTGATTTCTCCACAATTTAGCTGTAACTCCTGATTGGGCCTGTGACTTCCATTCCAAGAAATGGTTATTAGGAGTTTGGAAAAGACAGCCTGACTGATAGGTGGGGCAGAGCAGCAAGGAGAAAATTGCCAGAGTTTCCATCTCTTCTCTCTCTTTGAAGCCAGCCTGAAGCACTGGTCCTCAAGCCATTGTATGCAAAAGAATCACCCCCAAGGTTCTGATTCAGTGGATCTGCAGTGGAACCTCAGAAGTGGCAAATCTAACAAGTTTCTGGGGGATGCTGATACTACTGGTCCGAGACCACACTTTGAGACCCACTGGCTGAAGAAGTTGAAAAGAAGGTTGTGTTATAATGCTGCTAAACCCACTGCTGGAACTAGCCCCAAGGGACTATGTGCCTGGAAACCAGACTAGAAGCAGCATTTTTGTTAACTGCAAACAAAAGATGTCTTGTTCTTTTCATCCAGGAGTGACTCAAGAAAACACCATGAGATGCTTTTTACTTTGCTAAAAGAAAATTATGTTACTATTTCTATGATGATTATTTAAAACACCATTTCTAGCCTCTGTACCTAAGCCGCCATACCTATTACTGTCCAAGGTCTCTGAATCCCTTTCTGCATCATCTTCCTGCTCCCCTCAGCACCAGCCCCCAAGTGTGGCCTGCCATTATCTCAAAATGTCTTGATGAACAGCCATGTGAGATTTTATTTCAATTTAGGGTTAAACAGCCTTAACTCCAGTTTTGTCACTAACTAGCCACATCTCTCTCCCTCTATTTGCCTCTAGGTTTCCCCATCAATAAAAAGAGAGTTTTGGATAATAATATAATAAAAATAATAAGATGGAGGGAATTCCGGCCAAGATGGAGGCGTAGGTAGACACATTTTGCTTCCACACAACCAAAGAAGAACAACAATAAATTTTAAAACAAAAAACATCCAGAACTGCCAGAAAATAAAACTGTATGGAGGTCTGACAATCAAGGAGTTAAAGAAGAAATATTCATTCAGACTGGAGGGATAGAGACGAGCAGCGAGTGTGGAGAAGACAAGTGGCAAAACAGCAGACAGGGTAGGTAAGGCAGCGGCTGGAGGACTGGAAAGTCCCACATTCGTGTGTAAAGAAGCCAGAAGGAACAACTGGGGAGTGAGACAGACTGTGCAACCCAGGGCTCCCTCATGGGAAACTAAAGCCTCAAAACCCCTGGCTGCAAAACCTGTGAGAGTTGAGGCAGCAGGAGAAATTCCCAGTCTCACAGGAGAGTTCGTTGAAGAGACCCATGGGGTCCTTGAAAGTAGACAAACCCACTCACCTAGGAATCAGCACTAAAAAGGCCCAATTTGCTTGTGGGTAGCAGAGGAGGTGACTGAAAGCTGGCTTAGAGCCGAGCTAATGGCATTGTTCCCTTTCTGACCCCTCCCCCATACACAGCACCACAACTCAGGGAAGCAGGTTGCCCTACCCTGACAAATACCTAAGGCTCTGACCCTTACAACATAACAAGTGCACTGAAGCAAAGAAATAGGGCCCAAATGAAAGAACAGATCAAAATTCCAAAAACAGAACTAAGCAAGGAGGAGATAGCCAACCTATCACATGCAGAGTTCAAAACACTGGTAATCAGGATGCTCACAGATATGGTGGAGTATGGTTGCAAAATGGAGGAAAAAGTGAAGGCTATACAAAGTGAAATAAAGAAAAACATACAGGGAACCAACAGTGAAGGGAAGGAAACCAGGACTCAAATCAATGACTGAGAGCAGAAGGAAGAGATAAACATTCAGCCAGAACTGAATGAAGAAACAAGAATTAAAAAAAAAAAATGAGGAGAGGCTTAGGAACCTCAGGGACAGCTTTAAACGTTCCAACATCCAAATCATAGTACTAGAAGAAGAAGAGGAAGAGCCAGGAATTGAAAGCTTATTTGAAAAAATAATGAAGGAAAACTTCCCAAATCTAGTGAAGGAAATAGACTTCCAGGATATCCAGGAAGCTCAGAGAGTCCCAGAGAATTTAGACTCAAGGAAGCACACACCAAGGCACATCATAATTACCTTACTCAGGATTAAAGATAAGAAGAGAATCTTAAAAGCAGCAAGAGAAAAGGAGACAGTTCCCTACAAAGGGGTTCCCATAAGACTAACAGCTGGTTTCTCCAAAGAAACGTTGCAGGCAAGAAGGGGCTGGAAAGAAGTATTCAAAGTCATGAAAGGCAAGGACCTACATCCAAAATTAAACTATCTAGCAAAGTTATCATTTAGAATGGAAAGGCAGATAAAGTGCTTCCCAGATAAGGTCAAGTTAAAGGAGTTCATCATCACCAAGCTCTTATTATATGAAATGCTAAAGGGACTTATCTAAGAAAAAGAAGATCAAAACTATGAACAGTAAAATGACAACAAACTCACAACTATCAACAACTGAATCAAAAACAAAAATGAACTAAGCAAACAACTAGAACAGGAACAGAATCTCAGAATTGGAGATCAGAGTGGAGGGGGAAAAGGTACAGGGAAAAAGAAGCATAAATAGTAGGTACAAAATGGACAGGTGGAGGTTAAGAATAATATAGGAAATGGAGAAGCCAAAGAACTTACATGTATGACCAATGGACATGAACTAAAGTAGGGGGATTGCTGGTGGGGGGGGGTGCAGGGTAGAGGGGAATAAAGGGAAGGGAAAAATGGGACAACTGTAATAACATAATCAATAAAATATATATTAAAACAATAAAGAGATCTGACCCCCGAATCAAAGGAAACTGTGGAGTCATTAGAAGACAACCAAATGAATACTTTTCTTTGGTACAGGGTGTGAGTAATACATGAGGAACCATTTTTTCCCCCTCCCCATGAAATCTCATTCATCCACCAGCAAGTCCTCAGTTATCTATTGTCATCTTTACGAACATACACACACACACACACACACACACACACACACACACATGAACTTACTCTTTTAAATTACTTCATACTTTTGCTTCTCAGAACTATAAAGATGATATATCAGGTAGGCTAAAAGTTCTTCTCATTCTCAGATTTGGCTACTTTCATCACTGATCCACTCTAGTAAGAGCACATCTCAGAGAAATGAGGAGCCATTTTGTGCATTTAGGGCAAAAAGGCATAAAATGTTACAAAGAAAAAACTATATTTCCTTCTCCCACAGTATATCTCAGGAGGGCAAAATATAAAACTGCTGTAGTGACAATGGAGCAAATATAAACAATAAGGTAATTATAGAGAAGCTTGGCTACTGAGAGCCAAGAATCCCAGTTAAGTGGGAAAGGGTAGAGAAAAAGTTAGAAGCATTTTATTCACAACCTTCCTCAAGGTCCATGTCGGGAGCCACAAAACAGTGGAACTCATAGAGGGAACTTGACCTGCTGTAAAATCTTAGCAGGCCACGAGTACCCTAGCCCCACAACTGACGAAGCACATGCAGGCCTCACCCTGAGGTAGTTCAGAAGGTCAGACTCTTAGAACTTCATCCTGGAAGGGCTCAAGGTTTAGCTAGCTCAGATTTTCCACTTCTCTGTCAGAAGGTCTTGCATGAAGGGATGCAATTGCAACATCACTGTCACATTTTTGTCTCACTATCTCTTGTTTTTGTTTTCAAAGATGTATGCCTCTCTGCCTCTATGACTCTATCTCTTATACATCAAAAATACCAAATATCAACTGTGGTTCCCACTGACTGGTGGATTACTTGCTCCTGTGTGTTTTTCCTCTTTGTGCTTTCCTCTGCTTTCCCCCCTCTTTTTTTTTTTTCATTGAACATGAATTACCTCTATCATCCCATGCACAAAAGTGCTTTTATGTACTATAACTAGGGTGGCTGGAGCAATGAAAAAGAGAACTATTGTTTGTATGTTTTTAGAAGAAATACTGCCAGCAGTATCTTATATCTCAGCGTGAGCCACTTGAAGTATAAAAGCTACTTCTAAGTTACAATGTCATTGGTTAAACGAGATATCTGGGGCAGGTCAACAATATATTACTGGTACTTGGTATGAGAATCTCTTTTAGGCATAGAATCCTGGGGAAGTTTATAAGCTGCCAAACATTGTTGGTTTTTAACTTGAATTAGACTTTCCATGACCTTTACATTTTGTATCAACTAAAACACCATAAACTTTATTTGTCCACAAAAGTAAAATAAATAAAATAAAACAAAAGGAGATAATTTTCCATTTATCATGTATCATATCTGCAGAATTGCAGGTTAAAGAAAAGATGTCAAGAAATGTTGTTTGTGGACATGAAAAATGAAATTATCACTGTGTCATGGATCTAGTAAGCAAAATTAAAGTAAATTAATTTAATTTAAATTAATTTAAGTAAAATTAATTTAAGTACAATTAAAACTGAACTAAATATTCGGCTTTAAATTAAAACCAAGACATATCTGAAGACCAAGGTTTATAATTCATCCGTGGCCCTGACTGGTGTGGTTCAATTGATTGGGTGTCATCCCACAAAGCAAAAGGTCTTGGGTTTGATTCCTGGTAAGTGCACATGCCTAGGTTATAGGTTCATTCCCCAGCTGGGGCATGCGTGAGAAGCAACTGATTGATGTTTCTCTCTTTCAGTGATGCATCTCTCCCTCTTTTTCTCCCTCCCTTCCCCTCTCTCTTAAAATAAATAAATTTTGAAAAAAAATTTATTTGTGTTTTCAAGGCTGCATAAAATCTACTGGCATTAAAACAAATCAAAGTTTCTTTAACCAAACCTTCCTAAACAAAGCACTAAAGTGCCTCAGTAAATTAAATATGGAAGGTTGAAATAGTTCTAGGCTTTGCAGAGCTAAATTTTATTTTATAAGTTTCCTCCAGACCTAATTCTTTTTTTTTTTCCCTGCTAAAAGCTTTGTTTCCACTTGGTCCACAGCATGTGACAGGGCTCAAGGGTAGTTAACTGGAAGCCTAGCGGTTGCAGGGAGAGGCTCAGGCAGAAGCCAGACACCAAGGAGATGCAGAGGAGCCCCTCAAAGGCCTCTGGGCTCCAAAGTCTCATAGTCCTGCTTGAGAGTGAGTCTCTCGAAGAGATACATACCCAGCCCAGCCTGGGATCCACCAAGCCTGTGGAGAATAATCAGGTGGTTGCCCAACTTCTTGATGAGTTTCACCTCCTCTTCCAAGAAGTGGTTCTCCAGAAATCAGAGATGGAGGTCTGTGTGGGCAGAACCCAAGGCATGCAGGTCCAAAAGGGCCTGGTTCAGGTTCTTCTCCATGACTTGGGTGGATTCCATGGCATCCTGAGTTTTACCCCACTCATCTTGGGAAGGCTTCAGCAGGCCCTAGACGAGAGTGTTGCGCTGGTTTTGCATCTACAAGAAACACTTGACTTCTCCTGGACCAATCCCCAGAAACAGTGGACCATGCCCTCCAGAGCCACATTGTTGTAATCAAAATAGGTAGATGTTAGGAGGCCCACAGATGCAGGTTAACCAGGCAGTTGATGGTGGCTTCCACCATAGCGGAATAATTTTGATGAATTTTGGAGCTTATGGTTGCTCAGCAATAAGGAATTAAGCTCAAAAAACAGTATTGGCTGAACTCACAGGCAGAAGATGGTTGAGATGGTCCTGAAGATGGTGACTAGAAAAGAGGTTGGAGGATGGTCAGAGTTTGGAAGAGGGGTGTCCCTGGGTCTGTCCTGCCCAAACACTGTTGAAGCAAGAGAGAGATCCTAGGGGACACCGAGAGCATTGCCTCCTCTTGCCCTAATTCTTGGTAGGGATGAGTCAAAAAGAGGCAATCTCACTTCTGTGCCCAAGACACAACCTGGTCTTCATTAGCTTCTCTTCTTCTCTGAGGCTTCTTCCTTATTTTATCCCCAAGTTTGGCAGTTCAGACAAGCAAGGCTCAGTGCCCTCTTGAAAGATGAAGGGTTGGTGTGGAGATAAGCTCACTGTTTCTTCCTTAACTTGTATCCAAGCAAAAAATGGGTGAAATGAGCATCAAAGGCAGTTTAGAAAGGGTTGTGAAGGGTGGAGACACAGGGAGAGTCAGGAAAAGAATCCTCATGGCCTGAAAAGCTCGTGGAAGGAAAAGGAGCAGCCCTCTTATAAACGGAGAATTATGGGAATGCTGCATGTGTCTGAGTTACAAGTTTCATTTGTACTAGATGAGAGCATGATCTTTTACACCCTCCCCACACACACACTCAAACCTTTCCAAAATCAACCAGGTACTCCTTTCTACCCTCTCCACTTTGGCTCAGGGCTCTCACTAACATTCCAAGACTTATTCTGATCTGATCTCTTGAGGTTTATCATAAAAAGTCTGTCTTTCTTCTGGAGTCCAAGGTTCTGATCTCTCAGCCACAATACTTAATGATATATTGATGATAAACCCTCCCCCTCAATAACCAGTTCTGCAATTTGGTGGAAGAACCAACCGGACCATTTGGGTCCTGCAAATAAACTAACACATGCACTCATGGAATGCCCCATTCTCAGCCAGTTATTTTGTGCTGAAGAGACAGACTTTTATATTCACCCAGTGTCCACTAGACTGAGTATTGAACAAGCTCATAGGGTGCATAAGAACAATACACAAATGAAATTCTGGTGTCAAAACAAACTCTATGAGGACAAGATGTACTTGGAGTTTTGCTCCATTTCTTCTGTCTTGTGGTGGGTTACTACAGTTCATCAAGAAAATAGTTTGGAATTTGCAAAACCTCCAAATCCTGCCCTTAGAAGTCTGGGCTTCTGGGCTTCCTTACAGTCCCTTTGTGAACAGAAGATAGGTTTATTAATCACTGTCTGGGTTGCATCACTCTTATTATTCCCATCAGAGTAAAATAATGCAGAAAAATAGAACCTGTGTTTGGATTTCTTGTTTCAGATATACAATTTCATCTGAAGAGACTAGCAGATGCTATTTACCCACAACTATATGCCCCTCTGGTTCACAGGCTGGAGGGCCCACAGCAAACTGTTTCAAAATAGAAGCATCTTCCTCAATAACACTCTCAACATGCCCTCCTTCCTCACCCTGTCACTGTCTCTCTGGCTATCCTCTTCCATGGTGAGTGTACACATAGAAAACCAGAGGGGGTTCAGTGAACCTTGATGCTCCTGGGGAGGCTCACAGGCCCCGGTGAGAGCCTATGATTTGGGATATAGAACACACCCAATGGACTTCATTTAAAGATGTGTGCAGGGACTTCTTGTCAAGATGGCGGCATGGATAGACTTGGCTCACCTCTTCACACAACTACATCAAAATTACAACCAAAATATAGAACAACCATCACTCATAACCAACAATAATTGAGTTGAATGGAAGTCTGACAGATATGGAATTAAAGAAACCACATCCATCCAGACTGGTAGGAGGTGCAAAGACATAGACGGGCTGGTCCCACACCCATGTGTGATAGATAAAAATGCAGGAGAGATATCTCAGGAGCAAGGACTCACAGCCCCACACCAGGCCTCCCAGCCCAGTGTTCCAGTGCCAGGAAGATAAGTCCCTACAACTTCTGGCTGCAAAACCCAGCAGGGATTGAGTTGGTGGAAGAAACTTCTGGAGCCCCAACCAGTTCCTCTAAAAGTAGCCATGCACAGACTCACCAACTCAGACTCATTCTCTCTGAGCTCCAGCACTGGGGTAGCAGACTGAAAGGTACCAGTGGCATACTGGGAGAAACTGAAGTGTCTAGCAACAAGATGAGCAGAGGCCATTGTTCCTTTTCTAAACTCTTCCCTGACAGAGCCACAGAACTGGCAAGCTGGTGCCATATCTGAGATTCCATCAACCTGGCTTACACTGAGTGACTCACCTTGAAGATCCTGAGAGACTCTGCCCCACCCAACTTATGGGCCCATCCAAGCCACTTTTCCATATGAATGGCTGGTCTTGGCTCATACTGCACAACTTCCTAAATCCTCCCCAACAAGCAGCAGCTGGCTTTGGTGAGCCCCAGGCCTGGCCCTAGCAGAAGCCAGCTTAGATTCACAGCTTGGCTTTACCTGTGAATTTCCAAGCCCAGCACAAATAGTCTTCTCAGATTGCTTTATATCTCAGGCAGGGTGACCCTGGGCAAACAC